AGCTTATCGAGTCAAATTAGAGGAGGCCAAAGGCAAATACAAGCACAAGATCGAACGGTAATTCGACTTGGAGTTTTAATTCTGGCATGGAGTCTTGACGATTCGAGGTCTCGGATAGGATCGCGAACACACCGAATCCACCGAAACTTCGATGAGCGCTGTGCTCGATCATGACATCTAGAGTTTTCAGGGCGTCCGCGAGCGCAATGGCAGCGTACTACGCCGCTCAGACGGCGGGCGATGTTTCCAAAGTGCTCGATGCGGTCAAAAGCGAAGGGGGTTCGAAGATGGAGAATATTGGAAGGGCCAGTCTGAGTGCTGCTAACGCGACGATGAACGCTTGTGGCGCGGTGACTTACGCGAACCGAGTCATGCAGAGAGCCAACCCACGTGCACTCGAGAACGCCACACAATTCAACAGCTATGGCAAAGTTTGTCAAACCATAGCCCGATTCCCGGAGATCACCGGGCGGATAGGAGAAGCGATAAGAGAACTATCCAAGGACAAATTGACGCTCGCTGTTAGGGACTTCGCTCAAGTCTGCGGGGAGGCAGCTACCCACATCCAGGTGTGCGAGTCGCTGTCCAGACCCGATCCGAACTCGCCCGGAAAGAAATCTTTGATCGATCAGTTTGTTGATTGGATCGAGAGTCTTTTGTCAAGATTCCTGGGCACGCCGGAGCTGGAAGACAAAGCCGACAAGCCACCGATTAGAACCGGATCAACTCTGGAAGATACCCTCGACGACATGGAAGCCCCGATCGGAGCTCGCGAGATCCTCAACCGAGGGCCCGGACCTCATCCCACCGGAACGGTTGCCGAACTCGCTGACAATCACCTCAAGGGACTCCGCGACGAGAAAGTTTCCCGGGTAGAAAAAAGCGGAGGTCACCTGACATCCAAAAACGAATCGGCTGAATCGGCTGCGAAAATTCCGACGATTGATCCGACGGAACGGTTCAAATCTCCCATCAAGCCTGTAGTCATTTCTGCTGAGATTGGTCAGAAGGAACGAGATGGATCGGCTGATGTCCCGGGAGAAAACCGCGGGACAGATCTGAAAAGACACGATGGCCAGGCTGGGTTGCCTGTCGACAGAAGTTCAGGAACAACACGAGCGGAGTCTGATTGCGACGCGGTTGATCGTTCTTCCGAGGGAGAGGGTGGATCAGGTGGAAAAAAAGGCACGTCCGCCAGGGATAAACAGCAGAGTCCGAGTAGATCAAGTGAACTCGCTAAACGCTCCGCAGATCTCGGGGAAGGTGGTTTGGGGGTAAGTCCAGCAGCTGGAGTACTGGCGAAAGCTCCGGAGAACTCCGCGCGCGACCAGCGACTCAAATCAATAGGATCGATCGAGACCGCGCCGGGCTCGAGGAAGAGTTCTCTGAACTCGCCAGGTTCGGCGTCAGGGTCATCAGGGCTCAGGCTGGGGAGCAAGCGTGAGGAGAAGAGCAAGTCGGCGACAGCGGCCGAGCCCTGCGCGATTCTCGGCGAGCACCCTCCGAACCGTGAAGGAGCGAGTGGCCCAGCCGATTCCGTGGCGAGTCTTGCTGAAGGTCGACCTGGGAAGCCTGAAGACGACAACAAGCCCGACCCGATACGGATTGCGGATGGAGCCAATAATCGGGAGGGATCGCGGAGTTCTGAAGAGCTCCTGAGCAAAAGTACTTCGAAAGAACAGGACAAATCGGGTGCATGTGTTGAACCCGCCGCAGACTTCGGTAAAGCTGGACCGTCGACACTCCATGGATCGGGAATCGAGAAGAGCGAGAGTGGTTGCTCGACTTTGAGTGAGGAAGACGTAAAGGAACTGATCAAGGAATACTTGCCCGAAGTCAGAACTGTGGATATGAGTCGCTTCACCGAAGTCTCGTCGGTGGATGAGCGCGTCGTCGACGCGACCAAAGATTGGCCTTTCCTTACGTTCCCAACAATGCAAGATTTCCTTTCTCAGTCTGGGATCCAGAAAGCTCCGAGTATCAAATTAAAACTCTTCACCGACGCATTCTTCCCCAAGAAACCCATCGCCATGCTGATCATTAACTCGAGCGACATTGCCGATCCCTCCAAAAAAGTGAAGATCAAGACAAAATCGCAACTCAGGAACATAATTGTAATCCTTAAAGCGAATAAGGTCTCACGAGTCGTCATGATCTAGACCTTGAACCGATTAAAATTCGACATGGGATCCGTGGCCAAGGGACCGATGAACCCGAACAGACACTCTTGTCGTACCTGTATCAAAACCCCTCACCTCCAGGGAAGATGGTTCACAGACCTGAGCCGAGTATAGCTTCGGCTCTTTCGTGCAAAATGCCTCTGGACGTTTTCCGAGTGCGCCGATTTCTCCTTCTGACGATCTCTTTCCACTGCTCGATGTGAATAACCATGGTCGAGAGGGGTCTGGCCGGAACAGTCCCAAGGTGGTTACGTAGCCGTAGGAGCAGGCGAAGAATTCTATGATTTGACGGTCTCCATTCAACAGCGAACAAACGGCAGAATTGAAATGACAGGGGAACGAGTAACCGTAGTGAACTACGATCGATTCACGCAGCTGAACCCGTCAAGTTAGAGGGTCAGCCTACTCAGATCTCCTTGACTTCCGCCTCGCGAATGTGGGGCATTGAGAGGCGCTACCGAGCATCGTGGGAACTGCGCCTTCGACCAAGAAGAAGTGAATCGACATTGATGCACAGCCTGGTGTGAGGTTCCTTTACAGCGATTCTCAGAGCTCTCCTCGAATTTATTGCAAACGCTGCATCCTTGCTCTGTCTCTTCTGCGTTGTACGGACAGACACTTCCCGATGCGAATTCCCAGAGATTAGCCGATTCTTCGCAATTCCGTCCCATATGGAAGATGGTCAAAGTGGAGCTTCGGAACATTCGCAGAGATTCCGGCAGCTTTCGAAAATCATCTTCATCTATACCCCCCTGTCAGTGTCTCCCACGCTGGGCCGAGCGGGACCATGCCGACATGAAAGATAATACAGGACCCGTCTTTAGAGCCGGCGAGGAATATTCCTCATTCAGTCTCCGGGCACCATAGATCACTCGACGACGTTCGATATCTCCGCTCGGACGTCAAGGTTTGGAAAACTGTCGGATGTTCGTGTCCTTTGCCACAGTCGAGAATCTTCGCAGCCCCCTCCATCGACCTTTGCGGAGAGCTCCGTGTGAGTCATGCTCCCTCGCGCCCGAAAACTTCGGTGTGACTCGACACTGCGCTTCCAGGATATGTATCACTTGAGGACGATCTCATCCCTCAGAGAATCCGAGCCGAATCAGATACGATCGCGAAATAAGTTTTCCGGTGTGTAGTGAAATCCGTTGACCAACCATCTTCGCCACTCGGCCTCTGATAATGGCCTTGTAGATGCGCTCTGAACTGGATCGGACTAGCCCGGCCTGCTGGTTTCGACAGCTGCTCGGGGGTGTTAGTCAGTTCGCTCCGTCGACCGCCGCTACGGCTGCTCCGCCGATCCGTCCGTATGTCGGTCGACGTCGATCCGACGTACGCATGTCTATCGGGATGAGTATGAGGCGCATCTTCAACAGATGGACCGGCCTTAAGTCGAACGGTGCATGTCTTCTCCTTCCGCGCGTCGCGTAAAGGCTTCACAATTTAACAAGACCGTCTCACAGCCGGTGGTAACTAGGGGCCGCAAGTAAGCCTTTGACCGGCGAGCTTTCGGCCCAAGTCGACGTTCGTGGAGCTAGGTTTTTCGCCGTTCGCGGAAATTTCGGAGAGCGACGGCGTCTCAGCCTTCCCGGTCGCGTTTCCCAATTGATTCGAAGGAAAACAAGAGGAAAACGCCACGGCCGAGAGGTTCCGTTAACCTTACCAAATCACGGATATTTTTTTTCTGGCCGAAAGGCTGGCGTGACTGTACCTACCCTGTCGAATGAGAGTCCGAGCTCCGCGATGACTCACCGCGGATGACATTGTAGTAACTTTCGCTCGCGCCCACTCGACGGCTTCGACCGAATCGGAGCAGTGCGCAGGACGACTGGAACACCGCCGACGTCGATCGATCTCGAATTTCACGCCGAGGAGGCAAGTGCCAGGTGCGGGAACCGTTCCTTGCCGAGAAGTGAATCGTGAAAGCTCGTCCTCCGCTGCCCACTTGCTTTGCGATCGAACGTCGAACCTGATTTCGGTCCGCGAGTTGAGGGAAATTCATTCGAATGGCAAACTCCGCTCCGTATCAAGATGGTCCAGATACACGAACATTGAGTTCGGAGATTATAGTAGAAATTTTGACCGAGAATGGCGATCGGACTGGCTAGTGACAGCGAGGCGCGAACTAGTATTGAATGGGTCGCTCACTCGCCCGCGGCGCATGGTGTAAATAGTGTTTCATAGCGGTACTCCGAGTACTTCCACGGGAATGGCAGTACGAAGAATCGGTCGTTCGGGGTGGGTGTCAGGAGCAGGCAGGTAACGATGCAGGCGGGCAGGCCGGCAAGCAGATAGACTGCTTGACGGGAGGTTACTTGAGCGAGGGGCTCTGTGGACTGTGGAGAGCGGTGGAAAGGGCTCTGTGTGCCGCTGCTGGCGGTATTGGTGTTCAGTGTTGGAGGAGCTTTAGGCAGCTGGTCATACGTGAACCTCTTTCAGTCAAGCCACAGAGTTCGTGAGAGTTGGTAGCTTGCTCACCCATTCATTCATCCATTTTTCCATCCAAATCGTTCGAAACCACCTCCATTTCACCCCCCTCTCATCAACTCTCCACAAAATCACTGTATTCCACATCGAGAGCAGTTGGATCGAATCATCCGTTGAATTAAGGAGAGAATCTCCCAGTGTCCCGAATCACGAAACCCGCGGCTAGCCAGCTATCATGACTCCGCTGTTCAATGCCGGCTAGAGTGCCCCAGTACTCCCTGGAAGAGTTGTGTCCAGTTGTGATCAGTTGCCAATGTGTAGTTGCTTTTCGGTGCGGAGGAAGTGTAAAAGCTAGGAAAAAGTGCACTTCTACGGTGGTGTTCCTCGCACATAATGGATCTCCATGAACTCGGCACACATTACCTCCCCGGAGGCGCGATCGTTAGACCGGCCACTAATCCGGCCGGATCGTCATGGATGCAAGCAGCGGCCGCAGCTGCAGCAGCAGCCGCGGCGGCTTCCGTGAACCAGAACGGCTTGCCCATTGTCGGCGCATCGGCAATGGTCGGGAGTAGTCCTGGAGAAATCGATTCACAGAGGTATGATTAGGGAGCTGACATATGCCTGAGGGGGGGCTTCTGTTCATTTCCCCCCTTAGAATAAAGGAATAGGAATCATTGTCTATGTTTCGAACGTCTACCGTCGAACGTATCCGTGTGTTTGCACCGCGCTCCGGTCTGCCGATGGGGAAGAGGGAAGTCCCGAACGGAGAGCGTTCGTCGAGCTCCTTCGCTTGCTCTTATCGTTCGCTTATGTTCCATCCGGAATTATTTCTCCTAAGCCATGAACGCTCTGGAAACAGTAGGAGAAAATGGAGAGCCCATGCTCCGACATTAGGAACACAAGGGTTTTAGGTTTGACTGAACTCGGGAAGGCCTCCGGATAGCAACAGCCGCAACAACATCTTTTTCTTCTCGCTCGATCTCTCCTCTCGAGCAGCTTACGAGAGAGATTCTCCGAGCACTAGTCTACGAGGAGCCGTTCAGCGGATCAGGCAATGTTTAGTTACGAAACGACGCCAAACAACAGAACCGGTACAGCTCGTTTGCGCGAAAACCGGTTCGCTCTCAAGCATCCGTGCTCGCGAAAAAAATGTTTCCCGAAACCCTATCCGGATAGCTGACTGCTGAAAGAGCGTCGGATCCACCAAAGGAATCCCGCAAGGTTGAACCCTCATCACAGGGATGTCACAGCTTCAATTGACCCGGAGCTAATAAGCTCTCTGAGCGCAAAAGGTGAATTTCCTCCATCCCGGCGATGAGCGCTTCTGAGATAATCGGGGTTGAGATGCTGTTTGTCGATTGATAGCTCCGGAGAGGCGGAGGCCTTGTTTGCCTACGATAAAGCGTCCATTCAAAACGTCAAAAACCTCATCCGTTCTCTCAGGGCTCTCAGACGAACTATCATTCCCACCGATTCCTTTATTTACTCGCGTCGAGCAATCAGTCAGTCAGTCAGTCGAGAAGTGGGCTCGAAGGCCCGGTGAATAAACCTCCGATTAGGAATTCTTGAATTCCTACAGGAGAATCCTGATCATGGGGTTCAGTGAAAATTATGATTCCGCACATAATCTCTAGCTCATGTGACCGCTCGAAGTCTCCAGGGTCTGGAATAATTCGGCGCAAGAGATTGACTCGTCTCGAGAATGTCTCGATCATAATCCGACTAGATGGGATGTTTTCTCTTCTTCCGTTGAACCTGAAACCCAGATGCTGGAAAGAGCCCGGGTGGGGTGATTCGAGGAGAGTACCGAACTGGAACTCTGAGCTCTCCAGTGCTTGGCACATCTCTGAGGGTACGTCTCGCTATTCGTCGGGCGGCCGCGATCCATCCGGGTCTACTCCTTGGATCGAGCGGCGACAATGGCGGTTACCTCAAGTTCACTCATGACTCAGGTCGATGATCGAGTTCGGTGATCATGACGGAGCGAAAATTCGACTCTTCGCTTACGTTTCTCCGACTCGGCTGAGGAGAAACGACGAGTTTGTCCGCCGGCTTGTCCGTCGCTTCTTCGCCTTGTCCGTCCTCTGTCCCGTCGTCGGTCTGTCTGTCTGTCTGTCTGTCTGTCTGTCTGTCTGTCTGTCTGTCTGTCTGTCTGTCTGTCTGTCTGTCTGTCTGTCTGTCTGTCTGTCTGTCTGTCTGTCTGTCTGGCTGGCGGGCGTAGGGTTTGCTTGGAGGCTTCTCCTCTAGGAGAGCGTCCTCGTTCCCGTCGTCGTCGTCGTCGTAGGGTAGTCGTGTGCTGTGCTGCTCGCTGGTGATGGTGGTGATGGCAGCGGCGGTGGTCCCTCCACACCGCCCCACGTCCCCCGACCCCCGTTCGAGCTCCCTCGCTCTGTCCTGAAGGAGGGAAACGGAGTACCCCCGCCCTACCGTTCGCCAGTCTGCCTGCCTGCCTTTCTGCCAGCGAGCGAGCGAGCTTGGGTTAAAAGAGGGAAGCTCCCTGCTACAGCGGCTCTTACGACGCCACGTGTTGTTCGTAGCTCGGGAAACTACGTCTGGAAATTGCGCCGTCACACTGTTGATACACTCAAGGATGGAAAGGGCCCGGAACTCGGGCCTGAGACCGCCATCGTTCACGATTCCTTCCCCTGCCTGTTCTCAAAGAAGAGTCCCCGTGCGAATCGAACGTTCTTCGAATACGTTCGGCAAGGGCGACTGCGGAGGCTGCTGTCCCTGGACATTAGTTGCTCGGCAAGCTAGCTGGCAACGAAAAACAAGGGAAGCGAGGCAAGCAGGCAGCTGGCTGGCGGACAGGCAGACAACTCAGGCAGGCGGTCGGTCGGTCGCCGCCACCACCACCACCGCCGCCGCCGCTTACGAAGAAGGCTCTAGGCAGCACAGTCGGCAGGCAGCCGTGGGCCACTGTCAGGGGGTCTGACGGGAGACGAAGGGGACGACGAACAGTGGGCTGCCGAGGAGTGAAGGCTAGGGTACGCTCCGGCCGGCCAGGGTAGGGTCGGACGAGTAGGAGGCGAGGGGCGTAGGGGCGGGGGGCGACGGAGGGAGGGCGAGCTTTGTCTGGCAGTGCTGGCGAAAGGCGGTTGCACCAGGTCCCTCTCCCGGGCTGGGGCTCTTCGTCAGGACTAGAGGGGGGATGGGGGGGGGGGCGAGTCGGGGACCGGGCTGGGCTGAGGGGGGCGAGCGAACGAACGGGCAGGCCGGCGGTGGTGGTGGTGGTGCTGCTGGTGGTAGTAGAAGTGGGGGAATGGAACGAGCCTGGGTCGTTCGTTCGTTGGTTGGCTCGCTCGTTCGTTCGTTTCTTCGGTGGATGGTAGCTAGCTAGCTCGCTAGCTAGGGCTTGCCACGGCCATCGCCGCCGCCGCCGCCGCGTGGAAAACAGGGCAGGGACACAGGCGGACGGGGACAACGTCTGGGGGCTCGACTGCTGCTGCTGCAGCAGCAGGAGGAGGAGGAGGAGGAGAAGAAGAAGAAGCCGATCGAAGAGGGGAATCTTTCCACCATCCGAGATGCGGCGGCGGCAGCAGAGGCCGTAGCAGTCGGCAGGCAAGCCGTCACAGAAAAGGCCAACTCTAGATAAAAGTACCGAGCCAGCGAGCGAAGTAGGGTCTGAGTGAGACCATTCTGGTCCATCTTCGGCGGAGCGACCAGCGCCGAGCCGTAGGGGATAAGAAAACAGCTTTCTGATGCGAGCATGGAATTGAATCATCTTGGCTCTGAGCTGTGATGTCTCAAGGACGACGAAAGGTCCGACAACTTCAATTTAGCGGAACTATCGACTTCCATCCACTCGAACAAGTCTACAATAGATACGCCGGAGTCTGCCCGGACCCCCATGGCACCTCGAAGCGGCTCTTTTCAGCCGCGGGAAATTTTCTAAGAGCTCGTGAAGAACCCAACACGAAGGACGCTTTCTCCCTCGGAGTTGGCCGTGGGTTTTTTTGGCTTTCCGTGCAACTTTGTTGTCTGCTTTTGCCTCTGCTCCTGTTGTGACGGTTATTGTTGTGACTGTTATCGTGGCTGCTGCTCTTGCTGCTGCCGCTGCTGCAATGGTGGAGGAGGCTCGAAAACGCTGTGAGAGGACTCAGAGCCCTTCAAGCGACCAGTTAGGAGGTCGGCTCGAGCTTTTGGTGAACCCTCCTCGGCAAGAAAGGCAAGCGCCCAACTGACGGACGAAGGGACCGAGCGAGCACTCACCCTCTCGGTAGGCCCACCATTCTAATGGGGACACCGCTGTTGGCTCGCCTGCGAGGCTCCTTGCGATTGCTATGCCGAGCTCTGTCGACTGCTAGATAAGCACCTAACTGGGGGGCATCAAGCGGTGACTCGATCCGCAGACGTGCTGCTGTGTCGCGACTCCTGAGCGGAGAGGAACGGGGCGTCCTCGATTGGGGCAATACAGCGTCATTCGACGAGCATCAATCATCAAGAGAGGGAATGAATCTGAAAACTCCGGGACACAGCTGTCGATCATCGCCGGAATGATTTCCAGGGATGCGCATGCGGATCAGACCCTGCGACGAGACAGAATCTTCCCCATCTAGGTGCCCGTGTCGTAGCAGATGGCCGCAGTGCATGGAGAGGTCTACATTGGACATTCGGTTGTGATTTCGTGGCCTACGTGGCTCGTTGAGGGTCGATCCATTCGTCTGTCTATCAGTCGGTGCGTCCTGACTGACGTTTGTGCGTTCGTCCGCCTGTCCGTACGTCCTCGACGTCGGTCGGTCGTGGGCATCTGGCATGTTGTGGCCGCGACACCAACGAGAGCTCATGCGTAGCCTAGGCGCGGGTTGTCCGTTGCTTGTTCTGCCGGTCGTTGGCTCGTTCGGGCGCTTGCTTGCCGTTCGGTCGGGCAGGGCCGGCCGGCCGGCTAGGCAGGCAAGCGCTCAACAGCGTGGCCTTCCTGCTGTGGGTGTGCTCTGCTTTGACTAACTTTGGCTCTAGTTGGCTGGCCGGCCGGCCGAGCGCTCTGTCGCTGGCCTGACTGCTCGATGCTCGCTTGCTTCGCTGCTCCGGCTGTATGGTGGCAGATGTTTGGGCCCCCTGAGTACCGTTAGAACGGGGTTCTCGTCGTCGTCGTCGTCATCATCATAGTCGACATCAGCAGCGGCAGCACCGTTCTCGTTCGTCGTCGGTGTCTATGAGAGCTTTGCTGATTCTGCCAATGCGACTGCGGTCACCGATTCCCTACGCAGATCTAGCGGGAGCGCGCTTGCTGTTTCCCCGCTTTGGGGCTTGCATGCGTTATATAACGGTTTTCCAAACAACTCGGATAAATCATTATTGCAAGTGAATGACTTGTGGCTTGTGGGTCGCGAGACGACCCCCTCTCTCCCGAGTGAACTTAATGGAACTGAATTCCTTTCGACGATTTTCGGCAAACAGATGATAACAACTGTCGATCATGTCCATCATTTGCTCTTCTGGAGATTATCGGTCAGTCAGGCTGGACGGTCGCCATTCCGCAACAGAACCAACCGATTGGCAAGTCGGAAATCATTTATTCTCCTTCTCCACGTTCGGGGAGGAGGAGGATTGAGCTCGACATACGAAATTCGGGCGGTCGAAACGTTAGCCCAGATCATATCCCAAGACCCGGACCTGATACCGACGACGGGTCTCTGGATTCGCTTAGCGGACTGTATCGAAGTGGAATAGTTGCGCGTTTTCAAATCGAGACGATGAGGGCGGAAACAGGGTGAGCTTCGGGGGTTCCGCGGATATCGACGACCTCGCGAATCGCTCGGAAGGTATTCGATCTTGTGGAGACAATCGGCCGCAACTCAGTCGAACGTTGTCTTAGTCAGTCAGGGGTTTATCGATCACCGTGAGCGCGACCTTCGAGTAGCGTCGACGTAGCCGTTCCCCTCACCGAAAGCTTCCGCTCCTTGAGGAGTCCTGAGCTGAGCGCAATTCTATCCCACCACTCGAACCCATAGTTCATTAGACGGTCGCAACACCGGCAGCCTTGAAGTCGGACCCGGAACGCCGCGGAACCTTAGCCGTGTTTCGGCGTGGCTCTCGGTCGCGCACGCTGCCGCACGCACGAGAGCCCACGACTAAGCGAGTGAGCTTGAGTGAGGTCGTCATTGGCGGAACAGCGAAACTGACTTTGATGCTGCTGTATGGATTTCGCTCTAAGAGCTCATTTCGCTCCTCCAATGTGAGTTCGGCTAGCATTTGCGGCGAGCGAGCGAGCGAGTAAGCAAGCAAGCGAACGGGCGGCGAGTGAGTCTCTATATGTGGGGCTCTCGAGGGGTCCAGAACTCGGAGCGAGCGCCGAGGCTGAATCATCGGGTCGGTCGGTCGTTCGTTCACTCACTCGCTTGCTCGTTCGTTGGCTCGCTCGTTCGCTCGCTTGGGGTGGGTAAGCCTCGCAGTTCTATGGCTTGCTGTCAGGCTCGTGAAGCTGCCTGAGCCGCCGCCGCGACCGCCGTCGTCGCCGCTGCTGCTGCTGCTGCTGCCAGGGAGAGGCCCAGGGTTCGTTCCCCCCAGAGCTTGGAACCGGGCCCACCAACGCCGGAAGGAAAACCCAGCAAACACAAGCCTGCCTGTTCGCTTGTGTGTTTCAACACTCGAACGCTTGGCTTGCGATCCAGCCAGTGAGCTTGCCGGCCAGAGCTCGAACTTGCGAATGAACATGTACTCGGGTTGCGAAGTAACTCGTTCTTAGAAAATATCCTCTCGGAGTTCGGACCTCAGGAAGGCCGGCCATCCGAGAGCTCCTTGGCAGAGCTCCAAGGACTCCTTCATACGTTTAGTCAACGGAAAACACGACGACGGAGGAACTTCTGTACGGTCAGAAGCTCTCATGAAGACTCGATTATTTATTATTGCTACATTAGGAGTTTCGATGGGAGTAAGAGCCCCCAAAACCAAATTGATGCTCTAAAAGTCCGAAGCGGAACTCCTTTGCTTGCTTCGCTCACCGATCAGGATTTCAACTCGAAAATGTCGCGTGGGAGTGAATATCCGAGCTCGAAGATAATAATAATGGATAATAGATAATCACCGAATTCGATAGAAGTCTCATTGAGTAACGCAGTCAGCTGGAAGGAATAATCCCCGTGGCCTTATCGTGGCTTGAGCGTTCTAAAACCGGGGCTTTAGTCATCGATTGTGCCTCGTGGACGGGTGGGGAAGCGAGTCTGAACTCCAATCCATGTACATCAGCTCTCGCAGGAGATTTTCCTCCCTGCCTCCATTCTGGTCGTTTTTATTCTTTCCACTCGCCGACCCTCCGCAAGAGCCAAACGTCTCCGTTGTCATCGACGACAGCGACAATGACGTCGAGGGTAACGAGGATGTTGCTTCATGGTTGCGCTTCTTTTTTTCTGTCCCGCTTTTCTGTTCTCTTGGCAAAGCGGCTGCTGTGCCAGCGACAGCAATAGTAGAGAAAAGCAATTGACCAATGGCTGTGGTCCTTCTCCGAGGCCCTTCGGGCTTGGCGGTGACCTCCCCTCACTTCGGGTGGTGGTATCGCCTTCCTGCCTGCCTGCCTGCCCGTCTGTCCGTTCGACGCCCGCCCGCCCGTCCGCCGTCGGTCCGCTTGCCATCGTGCACTCGGCTAGCCTTACTGCTGGCGGCTTGCCTCGTAAGTTACCCTCGTATTTCTCCCGTTGTATCGCCCCTCCGAGTCCCTCTCTCCCTCAGTCCCCCATGCGCCACCCCCGACGCAGTCTCTTTTACCAGGGTCCCCCTTCATGGCGAACGCCTCCCTTCTCCCGAAGGGTTCCGAGCTGCAGTCGCAGCAGCGGTCGCCGCAGCACCATGGGCTGAGCCTGACGCTGCAATGAGCCAACGGGGAAAGCCTAAGGTTAGGCGATGCTCTGTCGTCCCTCGTTTGAGAAAGCAGACCTTGCTTGCCAGTCTCATTGTCTTTTCCATTTATTTCCCCTTCATTGCGTGAAAAGTAGCGTGGAGCTACGAGCCTGCGGGATAATACGGTCGGCCTGATTCTTGGCGCGGTTTCGCCGCGCTTTTTCTTGTCTTGTAAGCAGGACGCTGGGGCAGAGGACGCACCGGGGGGGAGAGGAGGAGAGCAGGGGAGTGGCAATGCAGAGATTTCAGTCATTCGACCCTGGTCGAAAATCAGATGAATTTCGGATTCCAAACGCTGATGAACACAATTCTATCTCTCCGCTGGAGGCCAGATCTCGACGTCCGATTGCACTGTCGGGACTCAAAGCGTTCAGTTGGAATGAGGTGGGAGATATGAATGTAGATCGGATACTTCTCGCGATGTCGGCTGCAGACTCGGGAAAAATTCGAGGAGGAAGAACTCCCCTTATCAGCCCGAGCAAGCCGATTAGTCTCTTATAGTTATTATTCAACGAATTCCGACATCAATTGGCACATAGCTGGGAACGATTGCCGGACGAAGCTCGGGAAGAGTCTCGCGTGTCACGATAAGCAGTATTACGGCATCGTCAACTCCAACTGACGTCGGGTACCGCCGGCGTGGGGGTTACGAGCGAATCCAAGCTCTTAATCCCTTCGAAGAGCGTGCTGCGTGTTTTTTCGCTTTATTCTTTTTTTTCCGACTCCGTCTTCATGACAACATTGCGCAAGCTGCCGCCGCTGCTGCCGCTGCTGCGGCGGCGGTGGTGGTGGTGGTCGGATATCCTTTTAACGGTGGAGAGCCTGGCAGGAGAGTTCGTCGGGCGGCCGGACTAGAGCTTACTTTCAGAACGACAAAGATTCGCAGCAGAGAAAGCAGGGGTGCTGCTGCTGCTGCTGCTGGGTTAGCTGCTTTCGATGAACGAGCGGTGGTCCCCGTTTGTCGGTCCGTGCCAGCGCTTGGCACGCCGCCGCTGTGCTGCTTACTACCAGGGTTCCGGAGAGAGATAAAAACATGAGAACCTCCCAAAGAGGCCCAGCGGCGGCGGCGGCAGCAGCAGCAGCACTTACTCTGCACACTCTCACACACGTTCGTACACATATACAGCACTAGCGAGTTGGCCAGCTACTACCATCTGCTTCCCGCGAGGTCGACTATCCTCTCTGGTCGCTCACTCGGGCCGGTTCTGCTTTTGGTCCGCCGCGGCCGCAGTCGTCGTCGACCTCATGCCATCATCGATGAGCGCAGCAGTGCCGCTGCTGCACCTGGGAAGCGACGCATAACCAGTACTCGTGACCGCGGCCGACGGCTTCGACCTCTCCGATCCGAATGAGATGTTTGCAGAATGATCGAGAGAGAGAGAAATCATTCGCACATGGTCGCGGATCTCTCGAAACAAATGGGTCGATTGCTTTCCGACCGGGGAGACAGCATGCCCACAACTCGGTAGCACCGGAATGCCGGTCCGACTCGGAACCGAGACCCGATCGGGACTCCTGATCCGAGCCGCAGTCTGAAGGTTCTCGCGTGTCGATTCTCCTCGTGGCTCCATTCACATCTCAGGTTCTATCGTTGTTGTTGTGTTTCACTTTGTCGCCATCCTCTCGGAGGATTTTTTCCAGACCAAAAGGGACTCCATCGGAGTCGTTCGATGCGTTTCGAGCCGTTTCGAACCTCCGGTCCCGGCATTGAAGGTCGCGGATTTCGTGTCGAAAAGCCGATACAAAAACCGGTGCATCGAGCGTGAGCAGATGCATGACCTCAGTCGAGCAGAGTAGTAGTAACCTTGATTCGTCGTTGTATTCCAGGTGTGAAGCTCCCAGCATCACAATTCAGAGCGTGGGAGGCCCCATCTACCACGGGCCGTCCGCCTTCAGATACGTTCTCGAAGACCATCAGCTCTTCCTCAACAAGCAGCAAGCGAACGCCGGCGCTACACTGCAAGGCGGATCGAACTCACGTCCACGCAGCTTTAAAGGTCCGATAAAGTCGGCGAAAAACGCAAGGTCTCGATATTTCGTCTATCGGAACAGTGCAAACAGCCAACGAAGCGCCCGACAGAAAAGCCAGTCCGCCCTAGGCGCCGAGGTCGCGTCAGGTTTAGCGAATCGCGTAGGTCTATCCGTATCTCTGGTCGATACGCGGCTCTCAAGTAGCAACAGTCAGAGTGATCTCAATCCGTCGGATCCGTCATCTCCGCTCAATACGCTGACACTCCAGACGACGATGGGCCAACGAGTCAGTACCGGCTTGAAGGTCGTTTCCGTTGGCGAAGACAATAATGGCAATCAGAGGTAAAGCGCGAACTGTCATCAATTCTCAATCGTGAATGTTCTACCATCTATTTCTCCGAATCAGTCCGAAGGCATTATATCTCACTTCGGATGCACTTCCGAAGGGACGGACGGACGCGAAACGTGTTGCCGTCGATTCGTCGTCGTCGCCTGTTTCGATCGCGTATCTCAAGCCGAAAACTTCCTTTCCAGAGCTGTGGTCACGAGAGATCAACAGAGTTGTAGAGACCTCCAACGGCCCGCTCGATTGGATATGCTGCTGGACACGCCGGCGGCATCGCACGATATGCAACTACGCCATAGCTGGAACCCCGAAGATCGCTCGTTGAACATTTTCGTCAAAGAAGATGATCGACTCACGTTTCACCGGTAAGCTCACGGCCGAACGACGGAACGCCGAACAGACGATAATGCGAGCCGGGCCCGAACGAAAGCTCGAAATCTCGAAAAGGTTGAGAAACTGTCGCAACATATGCGCATCCACCTTGGCGGATACTGAACGAGCATAAAAACTCGGCGAGTGCAGCCGACAGGCTGAAAGTCGGAGCCGCCGGTTGAGTTTCCGCAGGATGAGAGTGACTGTGTGTGTTCTTTCAGGCATCCGGTTGCACAGAGCACAGACTGCATCCGGGGTCGAGTCGGATACACGAGAGGAATGCATATGTGGGAGCTTAAATGGTCGACGCGGCAACGCGGTACCCACGCAGTTGTGGGCGTCGCGACCCGCGATGCCCCTCTGCATTCGGTCGGCTACCAAAGTCTCGTGGGCAGCAACGTCGAATCCTGGGGCTGGGACCTCGGCCGAAACAAGCTCTACCACGACATCAAGAACAATCAACCCGTCACGTACCCCGTGCTCTCGCAGAGCAACTCGGACGAAGTGTTTCTCGTCCCCGATACCTTCCAGGTTGTACTCGATATGGATGAAGGCACACTTGGTTTCGTTGTCAACGGCCAGTACCTAGGCGTCGCCTTCCGTGGACTGAAAGGCAAAAAACTTTATCCCATCGTCAGCGCCGTCTGGGGACACTGTGAGATCACCATCAAATACATCGGTGGTCTCGATCGTAAGTATCTGCTCAGTTCCCGCTTTTCATAACGCCGGATTCGCGCGTTCTCGATCCGATCGGATGTGACGATCAGGATGCAACGAGATGGATGAGAAGAAAATAACGTACGTAAGCGTCTACGAGTACCAACTAACCTGTCGAACCTTTGCAGCGGAGCCGTTGCCCTTGAAAGACATTTGTCGGCGATCGATTCGGCAACAACTGGGCAAGAACCGTTTGAACAGGGCGTCCGAACTACACCTTCCTTCGGCCCTCACGAGTTATGTTCTCTACCAGGACCGCTGCTAGATGCCAGATTTTGAGAAGAGTACGCAAACGGGGAGAAACTTCGACGTGTTGACTGCCAAAGACCTCGACATCAACCGATATGATCAGAAGAGAAGCGAGAGCAACTTCAAGTTTTGTGAATGAGGTCTTCGAATTCCATCTCGAACGTATCCAGCCTGTCACTCCTAGAACTCCTATCTCTGTTTCTCATTCATCAGTCACTCCACTAACCGATCGGGCGGGAGATCTCGGTGCGCGCTCGCGCAATCGTTTTTGTCGCAAGAGCGTGGCGTACACCGCTGTAATTATAATAGAGCGAGCCCCATCGTCGTGGTAGCCATATTGTATGTGTGCGTGTGAGTGCCTGTGTGAGTGAGGGTGTATGGCAAATGTGCTAAGGCCGCCACTTAGACCGTACGAGAAATCGGAGTCATCGTTTCTTTGGGAGTTTTCCGCCCATTGGGTGACAAACCGCAAGATCACACAGTACGTCTTACTGTGGAATCATTCTGTTCGTCGTACACTATCTAGAAGAATTTAGTTTTCAATTTGTACCGAGCTCATCGACAAGATTCGGCTCGGCTTCGCGCTCTGTCGAGAGCCTCTTAAGTTTTGGTGATATTCTACAGTGACTACAACGTGTGTCACGTTTTTCCTTGTTATGCTTTTATTCGATGGAGTGTGTTTCAGTCATTGTTTCAATGCTCGATCACCGACTGATCTTCAATTGTGCAGTCGATCGATCGCTCGTCGGGACTTACCGTTGTATCGGGGGACCGATGAGTATCGTAGTCGATATCGGAAGCAAATCTCAGCGCATCATTGAGAGACATTCGGCAAGGCTAAATTGTACGACCGACTATTCGACCTCTGCTTTGAAATTCGAAAATTTTGCATTCGGCGACCAGTACTAAATCTCGGAAATTAGATCATATCACATCTGGCTTAGTTCATTAATCTAGTCGTTCAAAACTACAGCAGAGGTCGGTGTCGGAAGTCGGTGCCAGATCGGATTCTCTGGCTTTCCGCAATAGAACATGCATCGTCGTAGTCAATCAAGAGACAGAGCTGGCCGGAGCGATTCATTCGATTCCAGCCGTTCTAGTACCCCGTGAGCACTGACGAGCGCTCAAGTTCGGGGTTGTGAGAGAAATCATTCGCCGTGCTTGTCGTTGTACCCGTCATCGATCGGGCGCTCTGTTCGAATCGATGCAGGGTTGAGACGAGAACTGGCAATAATCTAAAAATTACTTAATTTCATGCCGCGTCCGCTAGAAGAGCTGATCATCACAGATCAAAACCGATATCAATAGTAAAGATAATGAGCGAGAATCTTATATCCGATCCTTACTTTGAAACCGTCAAATGTCATGGTACTGAACCCGGTGAGCCGGACGTCTCCTGATGCACATGAAGATGAAGAGAGGGATGAGCACCCTCAGAATTTCCGGAAATCTCGACCGAGACAGAGCATTGAATCTTGAGACATTTTTCAACGTACTCTTCCGATTTTAACATCAACAAACAAATTACCCTATACTGTCAAGAGCACTCGATGCCCAGGAACAAGAGAAGCGCAACAATAGAACTTGAAAACAACGGCTACGCCTTCCGAGGGGGACGATCGGATGAAGGATCTCCTCATTTGCCGGGCTGCGCGTAATGAAACACTCCGTGAATGGGGTGCTTCTGACCCGCCTGATCTTTGTACAGGATTTGGTACTTGGTCGATTTGGTTCAATTACCTTCTCACCGGCGATTAGCTGGATAGCGGTTCTCGGGGATAACAAACATAGGGCTGGCCGTCAACTTGGCATTTTATGATGCCCGCAGGGACATTAGGGGCGCAGCTAAGGATTATGAGCCTGTTCGTGAAGGACAGCTTTGGGAACTTTTCTACTCGACACGACCTCTACATCGACAGTATTCCTGCTGACCCTTTGCCGGAGGCTGCCCTCGAAGCAGTCATTTCCGCGGGCGTGTTCTCGCCGCTCACGCAGCATTATAGTTCGCCTGATGAGGGCTTTATTTTCTCCGTCACACCGGTCTCATATCCAAACACAATCGAGTTCTCCCCTCCGTTCTGAGCTCCCGGCGTCAGATCAGTGCCGAACTACGACTCGGGACTTTCTGTCGCACACTCCGATCTCGATCCAACACCCGATAATCATGATTCCATCACGAATTTCATAAGTCATTCATACCGATGTCTCTCTGACTAGATGAGCTTTCACGGAGTCGGGGTCGAGGTTTAATGAGAGCAGGGTCGAAAGATTCTGCAAGTGATTGTAGCGGTGAGAGTTCGACTTGTAATCTGTATCAAGAACCGGCCGTCTTACGAGCCGGCGCGGCTTCGAGAGCGGACCATGTTCGCAAACCGCGGCATTATGGCGGGACGCGCGCTCAAACGATGAATATGTGAGTAGATTCTGATTTGCGCTTGCCTCGAACTACCTCGTGCGGACCCGCTCCGACGCCGTGAAGCCGACGCCTCTGACACCCCAAGCATCCACGAATGGAGCGATCATCGGTATTTTTTGTACATAACCCGCCAGTAGAAGTGAGAGAGTGGAGAAAGAATGGTATTTCACCAGAGCAAAACTCGATCGAGAGACCGAGAGAGCAACAGAGAACTAACATCAACAAATGGAGATTCAGTCCCATCCGAAATCGCAAGACAGATGCTGGAGGTTCGCTAGGCATACTTAACAAGTGATATTATTTATTGTCAGGAGGTACATCAACCACTGCAACAAGGATACGCAAAACTAAAAACCGCAGGGATCGCATGAAAACGTATAGGAAAACAAATGAAGTCGATTTGAGACCATAACTCACGGGTCGATCTCGATTTTTGTCCCTTCTCGATCCTACGTTGTACCAACCTCACAAAGATATACGCAAGATAGCCCCAATCGACGCGGAACTGGTCTCAGAGTCTAGACAAGGAGGAAGAAATCGCACGTGTACCAAGGTGACCTCCTCATCCTTTCCTCCCCCTGTCTTACCCCTATGTACTTATCCTAACGAGGAGCAACGCCATACACGAACGTTTGGGGATCAGACTCTTACTAACCCTGAAGACGTACACTCGGAGACACACTTACTAACCCCCTTCCTGGAAATGGAAGGTAAAAAAATAAATAAAAGTAAAAAACGTGCTACTCGCCATGGAATCCAGCTCGTCGAGGGTGGTTGCACCACTCGGCAAAGTCCACTGGTCCATGGAACGAGAAAACTGCTCTGAAAGCGACTCCTCTCTCTCGGAGGAGTTGCTCCCTACCCGTTTTGATGGCGTTGCAAACCTTGGATCGTATGATGAAACTAGTCTCTATATCGGTGCATACCGAGAATAAAACGAAATGAAAACCCACGAACGATGAAGATAGCGAGACCACACGACGATCGAGCATGACTGAATCATGGAGCTGATAACAATGGATATAATAACAATAATACTGATGAGGATGGAGAGTAATTACGATTGAGAATTTTTTCATTTTGATGAACGATGGGGGCTGTCCCACCAAAAAACCTTTATCTATGTGGTGTGTCAATGGAACTACAGCAAGACATGATGAACATGATGTAATAATATTAATAAGGATGAAATATGAAGGATACAGATGATGATGCTAACAAGAAAACGATAAGGAAGATCGCATAAGTATAGTATTTAAATAAAATTATATTAAGTTATTTAAAACTGGATCACTCCTCAATCAGGCTTTGGGGCTGCGTGACCTGTGGTCTGTGGGAACGTGACTTGGATGGTTCTAAGCATGCTTCCGATCACTCGGTGCAGAAACCTCAACGGTTCGGGGACACAAGATGGCTTTTTCCCGAGAGGGGCTTTCCGTTCAGTGCACATGTAAATGACATTTTCATCGAGGGCAGCGGGTATACGTTGCCGTACGGGGACTCTCAACTGATGCGACTGATGAAAAAGATGCGCTATCGTGGTATCGGAGCTTCATCCCTCCAGGAGCGATTTTGCAGAAAATCGCCTTCAATGCGGAGGGCATCTGTTTCAGGAGCCCAACAGAAAATAGAGGAGTATCCGGCTCACCGTAGCCCCCGAGAGATATTCTCTCGAAATCCACGGACACAGATGGTTTCTATCTGCGGCGTGCATCTGCTACATCTGTCCAGACACCTAGGTAAATACATCGAGGGCCAAAATCTCGCGAGGTTCCGCAGTTTCAAATCCGTAGGAAAGTTTGGCGTATCAATAGCGTGGAGGAGTTTCCGTTTTGCGAATCGCGAGAGACAAAGTGCGGTGCTTCGGAGCTGCCGATCAGAAGATCGTGAGCAGAAGACCAATATGGCGCTGCGTCTGAAGTCGAAATCTAGCCGAGCGATGGTTTGAGAATACTTATGTTCTTATCGGAGAGAACATCAGTCGGCTCGGTAGTATACTTGCGAATATTTCGACCCGCGTAGATGCCATTTCATCATCGAACTCACGGTCCGCAAAGCTCCTTGATTCTCTGCAGAATGCCGCAAGGCTGCGTATGGGGGAAATTTCCCCATACGGAATTTCTTCATGTGTCGCGCTTATCTTGCGACTGTTATCAGACCCCGGCCTAGGCCCCCCGGGCGCCGGCAAACAAGGGCATATCGATGCTTGATGGATGTACTAATCGTCCGAAACGAGACTAGGACGCGAAGCGTGATCCTTGCTGTCTATCTGACTTCTCTGACGGCAGAAACGAGCTGCCAATAGATCGCGGCTGTCCTCGACGGGGAAGACACCTTCAGGCTAGCTGCGGTAAATACGCTGAACGATACATCCGCGGTACGCCCTTGATCTCGCATTATTCGGCGTCGAAGTTTTCAGATCCGAGGTCCGACAATCGTAGAATGACTTGGATGGACGGCGATAACCTCGGAGGTGCAAATCGGAGATGCTCGCCGTGTTCCACGTTCACCGCTCGATCGAAAAGCCGAAAACTCCAGCTGTCGGCCTTCATCCGAAATCTCAGAGATTCTGGCGGCTGTTCTGCTATAACTCGGGTGTCGTTCCAGATGAAGAACAGTCTCCGATGCGAGCTCGCGACAAGAGACACCCGAGGCGGATGGCAGATGTATCTGCTCGCTCTGTGAGGAAACCTGCCGTCAGTGTCATTTGTTCAGCTGCGAAAAGTCCAACAACTTCGACTGTCGGAGCTCAGGAAGTCGATTTTGATAACAAGCCCCGAATGGCCATGAAGATGGTGAAATTTTTGCGTTTTGTCTCCGATCCGAGACAGCGAGTTCGCGGAGACGGTCGACTATATTGCTTTCGATAGCTACCGACTCATCATCGAAGATCCTCACAGGCAAGGAGGAGTCGGAGTTTTCGTTATTATGCCATCAGAATCGTTGCTCCCTGGAACTCACTCAGCTGAGGAATTATATCTGCAATCCATACTACGAGAGGCACCCTGTCGAGAGGTAATTCGAAGGACCTCCCGGAGCCTCGAGAGCGGTAAGCCTTTCGGGAATACAAATATTCGCTCCGATAAATCGTGGAAAGCCATGCGGAGACTTGGTCGTCCCCCCGGGATCGCCTCGTCGGGCAGTTGTCCCAGACAATCAGAACACTTTTTTGCGCGTCGACTTTGAGCGACTCCCTCATGACGTGACCACCGATCGCCGTCGGAGCGAAAGCCGGCCATCAGCCGGGCCGAGAATGTAACAAAAATGCGTTCATCTTTCGGAAAAGATCAGCCTGGTGCCTTCCATTTTGTGCGACGCCGAAACGAGACAACGTGCTGCGATTCCTGCCAAACTGTTTCGAACAGCCTCGGAGTGGCCAGTTATACTCATTGTACTCTACAGGCTGAGCACCCCCTGATAGACGGGCCATCATGAGTCTCTCCATGTTCATACCCGTGATGTTCAATGAACAATGTGACGAAATCCATCAGTTGTTCCTCGAATATGGCGCTCCTCTCGGTCCTACAGCGAAGGAGCTCGATCCTGAGATCAGTGATCTGATCCGTGTGTGCGATGTTTGCTTCAAGATGCCCGAGAATGATGCTGAATCAGTTCTCAACGGTTAGTTTGGGAGAGCAATCGAAACCACATTTCTATTCGAATCGCTGAGTCCCGTCAAACTCAGCCGCCGGCCGGCCTCTCAACATATGTCGATACGGACGTTCGAAGCGAATCGCGGAACGCCTGTACCGGTAATTTCTGCATGAGTCTGACTCTATTTCACATTCAGGTTTCGTGTCGATCCTGATCTGCAAAACAGACAACGTCGATGACTTCATTGGCTTCTGCAAATGCCTCGAAGCGGCCCCCACCCCGAAAATGCAAGAAGTAGCCTTCAATGTACTCTATAACTTCTTCGAAGGCCTACCTGAAGACTGTATGAATCGAGTCAACGTGTATATGTCCCTCATAAAGCTCGCAGGTGAGTACTGAGCACTCCGCTCGATCACGCGCTCCCGGTATTTCTGTTCTCCGGACCAGGGACTTCCTTTCCCGAGGTGACACTCTGAAAAATCCCAAGCTTGGCTATCTTACACCATATAAGCGAAACTATCTCTCATATAAGAAAATCCATTCAGGGTTGACGAAGTCCGTGTCGGAAGTTTTCCAAGACGTCGCACCCCTGAAGAAATGGCTCAAAGAGGTTCGCTGCCCGGTTGCCGAAATGCGTGAGGTCTACCGCGCGCTCCACAAAGAGCTCCTCAACTGTCAAATGTCCGACATGGGACTCAAAGTCATGGTCGAGCTGCTGAGCACTTACTCCGAGCAGGATGCCACAGAAGCTCGGGCAGACGCCGAGCGATGCATCGCTGCGACTTTAGCCGATCCGAACACATTCCTCATGGATCATCTTCTCCCGCTGAAACCCATCAAAGCTCTCCAGGGCCAGCCGATTCATGAGCTTCTGAAGATATTTATTTACGAGAAGGTCGCCACATATAAAGAGTTCTACCAACACAACAAACAGCTCGTCGACGGCCTCGGTCTCGACCACGAACGCAATGTGGACAAGATGCGATTGCTCACCTTCATGATGATGGCTGAGAAACAGAGAGAAATTCTCTTCGAAGATATCGCCAGGGAGCTCGACGTGGTCGATGTCGAGGCGTTCACGATCAGCGCGCTGAAAACTAAATTAGTTTCTGCGAAAATCAATCAGATGGGAAGGAAAATCGTAGTCATCAGTACAATGCACAGAACATTCGAGAGGTAAGCCACAGTTCGTGCATCAACCGCCGCTCCTCAGCGGTCTCCTGCTATGGGCGACTTCGAAATTTATTCGAGCGGACTCCCCCTCAAATTTTCTCCTTGTTCCAGGAACGAGTGGGAAAAACTCAGAGAAACGCTTCAGGGATGGTTTACGCGGCTCGACGAGGTTGAACAGTGTACTTCGCAACTAATTGACGCCCAGGGTTCGGTCTCGAAGGCTTGAATTAGATGCGCACAAAATAAACTAAACTCATACGAACGCGACCTGCTGTATTGAGTCCTGCCCACTCTTACAATTAGTGGAGAACCGGGGTTTGCCGCTCACGCGGATCAGTTCGGACGCTTGAGCGACTGGTCCGAGAGATTTTTTTTCGAGATTGGACAATTTAAGAAGAGAATTGAGGAGAGTGCTCTGAGCTGGTTTATTCCCAGGATACATGGCTTTCCTCAATTATCGTCATGGTCCTGGGAAGTTTTTCTTCTTCTCGCTTTCCCGAAATTCGTTGTGCTTTCGAATCTCTTCCATTTCGGAAACTATTTCGAAAGAAGTCCCGATGCGGATGCTTGAAGCGTCCGAACTCCGCGTCCGCCCGCCGCAGCTCTTGAATATTGGATTCCTTGGTGTGATCCTCCACGTGATAACGGTGTGATCCCCCAGGATCGAGGTGTGACGGTGATAACGACTAATGACGGTGGGTCTTTCGCCGTCATTCACCGTCAGCCACCTTCATTCGTCTTTATTCATTTTTGTCCATAAGTCTGCTGAGCTGATCCTTCTGAAAACAAGGGAGAAACCGCCCGAGCGCGCTTGAACTCCCAGCAAAGATCATCGACTTGATTCTCTCCCCTCCTCTACATCAACGGATTGCACATCAGTTCAGTACTACCCCCGGACTCCTCGCACGGGTTACCCTTACGCTCAAAATACGTACTATTGTGCGGCTCTTCAAGCATACGTACAACCGTACGGAAAGTACAGCGTAGGGCCCCACCAGTCGAGTTTCAAGTCTAGATCCGCACGGTTGTTGGACACACATAACACAGACAGACAGCAGAGCAGTCGACGCCGCATCGCCGCCACTTGGTTCCAACAAGACAATTTCGAAGTTTGACAGAATTGCAGCAACCGCAAAAAACAACGCTTTGTAACCGCAGCTGGGCCTTCTGCTCTAAGCTTCAACCATGGTGGTGAGTATCTCGCGCGAGCACGACGGTCAGCGGTCTTCGCGAAAGTTTTTCGAACATTGCCTGAGCGATTCGAACGTTTGTGTCAGCCGGTATCTATTTCGATAGACCTACAGCTAGACCCGGGGTAAAACGTCGGATTTCCCAGTGGATAGTGGCTTGAGAAGACATGAAGATAGGTTTGACCAGCGTGAAAGAGGACGCAGACGAACGTCGTCGACGATGAATGAATACTCGAGGTGTTTCAAAGTCTGACGACTGGAGGGCATGATTGAGTTCTGCGAAAAACTTCAAGGCATTCATGAGAACTTGTCCCTCATATCCGTGAGAGGTCACACCAAGCTGACCACAACCGATATTTCCAGATCGTGGAGCCGAAAGGGAAAAAGGAAGCTACTCGGGGTCAGAAACAAATCGCTGAGGAGAACAAGGAAACCCTGAAGTATTACATGATGATGGCGGGCATAAGCTTAGGCATCCGTCTGACTGCCTATATCTTCGTCGGACGTGAAGTATTCACGATAGCTGAAATGGTAGGTTTTTAGTGAATCATGATAATGATTGTCTCCGCAAATGCAGATTCCCCCGCTGCGAGCGTGATCCGATTACGGGAACATCTCATGAACGCCACTTCCCCTCGGAGCATCTCTAGGATACACTAACGACGAATATATCATACCGGAATACGTTTCTTTTCCCCGTGCCGATGAATGACCACGGTCTCTTCGACGTCACCTGAGCTCATGCTCGAGCCCGACTTCGATTCCGAGCGTGTGAATCTAGATCGCTGCACTCCTACCTTCCCCAGTGAAGTCTTCGGGACGCTGGGAATGTCGTTAGATATATTCCTGAGGATTGTGACCGCCGGGGTCATCGAGAAGAATACCGAATCTAGCGAATCACGGATGTGATGTATATCTCACTCCGCAATACGCATATCTGATGCTTCCTTCCACTTTCGACAGCTGTGCCTGACTTTCACCGTAGTTCTTCAAGCCTGCAGCTTGTCAATGATGAGCCTCTTCGCAAAGTGCGTCTATGGGGATCGGCAACAAGTTGTGGATGCGGGCACGGATTTGAACATGAAAAACGGAAACGCCGAGTAGGTTGCGCAGAGAATTCCAGAGTTATAGTTTTTCATGCTTACCGCCTGACATTTGACGGGTGCGGCGAGAAAGAAAAATTAGCTTCTCTCAATCCGTAAGGGATTCAAGACCTTTTGATCATAGACGTTTCGCTCCTTTTCAGGTACTTGAAAGATTTCATCATTTTAGCATCAATCATTCAAATGTTGACCATTGCGTCCTCGAAGTTCTATTGGCTATTGCTTGCGGTGAGTAAAGATGCTTCCGTGCCAAACGGAGGAAGCCCTCCCATTATGTGGATTATTCCTGGAGTGCGGCTCCAAAGTGAGAGGTCATCCGATTTTTTCGTGGCCGTGGAGTCCTGCATTCACGTACTCGACCGGGCTGGGATACTGGAGGCAAAGCATGTCCGTGGTTGATCGATGATGACGAGTAGATTTGCGTTTTGGATTTCCCAAACTTATAGCAGTCGCAAGCGTGAAGCCTTGCCAACACATCTACGACGGAATCATCTCTGATGAGTTTTTCCCGTCGTCGCCAGGCGTGGGAAATGCTCGAATCATGAAACTGCAATCAGATCCCCCCTCATGCGAGCGTCGAGAAGCTTTTTCCGAAATTTTGGAACTCCAATAATGAGGAATTTGTAGGATCCGTTGAGCTCGGTCTGTCCGGAATGATTCCGCAAACTCCACCTCGATTGAATGCCGCGATTGATCTGCGCTCCGGAAAGAGGGCCGAGATCATTGCCGTTTCAAGACCCTATGAGAATATATTTCTTTGCTCTACGAGATCCATGTCCGTCCGCTGTATTGTGTGATCGATCCAGCTGATGCTCAAATCCATCGATTCCCTCGACCAATCTCACATATTCTCCCGACGAGACATAAATCGGTTCTCTCTGCAGGTTCCCGGGTACGCAATATTCGTTCTGTGGGTGAACGTCCTCGGACCGTGGTTCTTCGCGCCGGCTCCCGCAGAGGAAGAAATTTCGGACAAAAAGCAGCGCAAACTGGACAGGAAGATGCGGAGGATGCAAGCTCGTTAGTTCCGACATACTCTCCGCAGAATGGTGCTGCCTGACGTGACGAAACTCCGAAGTCAGTCAGTGTCTCGGGTACTTAATGATGAGGCACAAGATGTGTATGTGGATCACGGGTGATTAGCGTGAACAATTCCGAGCACTGGAAAGACCTGCCCATGAGAGCCCGTCCTCGATGCGCAACAAGGGCACAGAATACAACACTGTTGTGAACCGTCGGCTGTGCTGTCTGAAGTCGGAAGAGTCAGCATATAGATGTTCGTCATTATTATATTTTCAATTCCAATACGCAGCTCTTCGATGCGACGGATAATCTCAGCGATGAACAATCGCTGCGAGAGAGTGAGGAAGTATAGCTTTGGGGATATGTACAGATTTATTCATTCTCGCGATGAGAAAAACGCCTGATACGAGCGAGAGAACCTTCCCAATCGGGAGCAAGTCGTGTCTATGAGGAAAGTGAGAGAGAACTTCGTTGACCGGAATAAACCTCCATTGAGATTTCTCCTCTAAACGATGCGCATTATTCATGTCCTTTCTGGAGTCCGGACCTCAAACATACTCAAGAAGATATGTAGGCTCGGATCAACTGATCTGCGAGACGCGGTCACTCTGTGGGCTCAGAGATGACCCGTCGGAGATTCGGAATTGATCAGGCCAATTTTGGTGAAGCTCTGTGGGATACGTTTGAGGAGCAAAACTGGATTGATGCATCAGGCCCGACTTGGCTCCGGGCATCAGAAGACTCATATCAGATCTGGGAATCCGCTCGATCTGGGAGTTTAAGTCATTCAGGGGAAATGATTCATCGCTACTCATTCATCCTGCGATGTTGCCTTCTCGGATACTATGTTTATCGCCTGCGATTCGAGCTGGCACTAGCCTCGAGAGCTCTTGAAGAGCTGATAAAACTGATTACTGATTACGTCTCCGTCGGCGGGCATAAGTTCACCCATTTCAAAAAAGCAGACCTTACAACTCACGCACACTCTCGAGCTCTCGAGGAGCTCTTGACAGCACAACTCGAGCAAGATCCTACGGGGAGCGACACAGTTGAGAGAGGAGACAAGAGTCTCTTGTCAGAATCAAAGGGGACCTGTGAAAAACGATTCTGGCATCGAACGAAATCGGTCTCATGGCAATGATCCGGAGCGGAAGGAGCATCAACCAGTCCAACCGACTGCTCGACGGCTGAACTGTGTACTGCATAGAAAGATGCTTGTCTGGAGAAGAGCGAAGAACCCTGCCCCTTCATTGTACCCAGAACTCTCTATGGAGGGGAAATCGCATTCAGTCAGGGAAATGGTAAACGCGATTCCCTCCTCCAGCTCGGAACTGAAGGTGTCTCTGTGGTCTCAAAGGGGAGGATGGCTCTACTCCGTGAATACAGACAGAACGAGGAGGTTCACGTGGAAGATTCATCTCTGAGGAGCCGCCATCGCCATAGACCGGTCCGCGGGCGAGCCTCAGACCTGATTTAATATCATTCATGGTCATGATCTGGAGAGATACGCGGCCCTACTCTACGCTACTAAATGGCACTTGAGCCTATGCACTCTCCGACCTCGTATCCGAATTCGATATCCTCCGCAAGCGTTCGCAGATTCTTTCTCGCGGTGAGCTTAATAGCTCAGCGGTTTCTATGGATTATCTCCTTGTCCAGAACTACTGACAACAGGGCGTGATTATTTATCGCGAATCCGGAGGTCTCAGTGCCCTGGTGGAAGCTGTCCATCCGAGATCCCTCAGACGCGCAGGATTGTTCTTCCACCATGCGATTGAATCGACTGCGTCGGGACTCCTGGGGGGACTGGAAAACTCACCTTGATGAGCTTTCTGATGAAAAAGGATCGGGGGACCCCGAAAAAAAGATGACGTCGCGAAAGAACGTATCGTCTGACATTTGACCGCAAATCTCTGCGTGTCAGGTTCTTTCGAATCATTACTCGGCCCGGTCAGGTTACTTGGATCTGTGTGAGAACTAACAGGAGTGTTTCCGTTCCAGTGTAGGCGAGAGCAGATCAACCACCCTGTAACCTGAACCTGTCAAGGTCTCACGGGGTTTGTCTTTTTAGATATCATCATCATCGCTGCCGCAATCACCGCTACCCGTAGTGACCGACTGCGACTATGTGCGCACCGAAATTCCCGCACCCTCGCTGCGAGAGTACCGTGCATGTGGCCGCGGAGTTTCGGTCCGCGGGAAATGCTCGCAAGTAACCGGCAGGACCTCGCGAGAGGATTCCTCCTAACGATACGATTCCCCTACAGGACGGAGATGATTGTCTTGAATACGGAATAAAAGGAAAAAGGAGAGGGATAGATAACTCGGCGATATGATTTCGTCTCACGCAACGAAAAATGAGCCCGATATTGAGCACGGTCGATGAGTGACCGATTCGGAGTGGATTATCTAATCCGCCTCTCATCCATCCCGGCCTTCGATGAGTTCAGCGGGCGGGTCTGGAGTTGCGTAATCTACCGAGTTGGTGGTCGACCAGCGCCGGAGGATTCGGAATCCTTTTCGAGGTCAGGTGGAAACATGAGACCTAGCTCTCTTTGTTCCGCGCTCGATAACTCGCAATCGATGACTTAGCTCGTGGGCGTAACTCGATACTGCGCCGGAAGAACGGCACAATCAGCTGCCTATTGAACGAAATCATGGAGCCATGTTAATCAGGAGCCGATCAGCCCACCGGAGCCGATGGAGATTCGGATTGGATCTTCAGACACGAATACGGAAAGCGCTCGGTCACAGGACCCTCGGGCATCGATCTTCACAGCGACGAAATATCGAACTGCCTGCTGACACCCACCGAGCTGAAAATCCGCAGAGGATTATCCAAGAAGACGGACGGTCCTCCCCGACCCTCGCCGAAGACGTCGCGCGCCTTGTACGCTGAAATTCGTGAGAATAGAGCCGGAGACGGAAGAGATATTTCTTCCGTTGACAAACCGCATCGCCCAGAGGCCGAGACGAAACTCTGGCTTCCCGATCGACTCACAAAGAGCGAGAAGACTCCGTTATTTTCATTACGACTTCCAGCTGATCGTTGCATCCTTTCTCCTTCTGTGGGTTTCTCCTTCATTTTCTGGCCTTTCTGTACATCTCTGGCTCGTTCATCCGGAGCGGTAGCGGCGTAACAGTTCCAATGAGTCGTTATTGTCATTTGAGCGAATAAGAGAATGCGCATCGTCACCAAGGGAGAGAGAAGTACTGGGAAGAAATCAGGGGACAGAAATTAGATATTTCCCGCAACCCAGACCAGCGAGCGATGATCCCGTCTGTCGTCGATCCACTGTACTTCTTCAGGCCACGCAAGGCGCCGACAAAGACGGGCAGTCGGCGCACTATGCGCTTCTTATCTTTTTCGAATCCGATCGAGAATTGAGGGATTTTCCGGCCGCTCGCGATCAGAAGAAGAAGAAGAAATTCTAAGGAGCGAGAAAAAAGAACGTAGCGGTCGGATGAATCACTAAGATCTGTTGCGCGCTAATCGCTGTTGAACGATGCCGTGCTACGTGCCTGTCGGTGTTATTGCTATCATTAAGCCGGATGTGTGGAGTAGTTGTTAATCAGCCGAGCCGGCAATTTGATTTTTTTACGCGTGCGAGCGCCGAGAAACGCGATGCTGAATTCCTCACGGAATTGATTTATGTTCCGATCCATCGAACGTTGCTTCGATTAAATATCCCAGATTTCTGGGGTTTCCGAGCTAACCGCATATTTCCGACAGAGGTTTCCCGAGCTCGAGAGGAGTTGCAGATTTCTGTTCCCCGAAATCTCGCATTGTTTATCCGGCTGTACGAGTATTTGTGTTTGTTTGTTCGTTTGTTTGTTTGCTTTGCTATCTTCTGTTTCTACTGTTTGCTCGCTCATCTGCTGAAGCGCTCCTCTCCGGAGCTCGACAGAATATATCAGTAGCAGTAATTTGCCCAGCCCAAACATCATCGTCTTCGACGATTCCGGCCGATGCACGAGCACAAGCACCAGAAAGACGCAAAGACCGGTGATTTTGCTATCGACCAATTTATCCCCGGATTACAGCTATCGCGGGCTGATCGCGTCAAAGCATTTGTGCTACTTTTCCTTCTTCATCGTCGTCGACTTTTTTTTCGCCGTCTCCATCGTCAACGTATTCTTGGTTGCCAGTTGTCGCCCTAAAGATTACATGTCATTATCACATTTCAAAATCGCTCTTGCCCAGCAAGCGAATTCGCCGCCAACCAGCAGCAATAACAGGGACCGGGACGTTCAAATTTTCACGCAGGAAAATGTTTGCTCGACGTCGACTTCAACAAGACGCCGTCAAGACAACTTGTGACGGAGCGGTGCGCAGCTTGTGCGGAGAAAATCTCCGCTTGAACCACCGACTGACGGCTTGATTGACTGATCGATACCCGCTTCGTACGAGCATGATGAAGATAACGATTCGAGCTCCTTTAAATCACTTTGATGCGATAAGAGACGAGTGGGACGACTGTCTCAATCTTTTAATAACCCGTCAAATTAACGGTGTGAAATGTTCTGATCCAGAATTTTTGAGCCCATTCCGTGACTCTTCGCAAAAAAACTCTCTCCCCTGATCATTATTCCTCGATTAATCCCTCGATCCAAGCGCGATCCTCGGCGAAAACCCGTCCCAAGCCCGAAGGGAATTGCAGTTCCTACAGGAGCGAAGAATTCCCCCGGAATACGAGTGAATCCTCTGAGCGTCTTTGTCCCTCAGATAAGAGATCGGAGGAATAATAAAAAAGATTACGGCGCATTTTCTATTTCCACAGAAAATTATCTGTCACTCTCATTTTATAGCCAGGAATACCCAAACAAGCGGAGACAAATAGCGGCGAACGATCGTAGATCACGACATGGATCACGATTTAAACGGCGTGTTCGGTGCGATTGCCATCGGAGAAGTTTTCACCAACGAGAGGCTGGGGAGGGGAGAGGTGAATAATAATGATATTCTGTTGAACAGACCATCATTATCGGCGATCTACTCCGCTACCTGCCTGAAAACTACTTTACGAGGAGCGTTGCCGTCTTCACGCTCTCATTTAGTCATCTATTGGATATGCTTCTGTCGAGTGTTTCCCCACGCGGCTCTTGTCAAGCATCGGCACCTCGCTCGAAGAGCATAGGGACGTCGTCGCATCTTGAGAATACCACTTCGAACCTCTAACGCAAAAGCCCTTCCGCACGCCGATGAGCCACTCTAGCACCAAGCGCCGTCAGTCACAGTTCACCTCGGGTCGCTGGAAAAAAATCCTCGATTCCAGAACGAATGAACTGCGAGCAGGGAGTCAACGCGGCGAGCCTCGTGCGAGGAGCAGGATGAACGACTAGATTTTTCTCGAGCCACGGGTGCCAGAATCTGATTTTTCCTTTTCCGAAGTTCATTCGAGAGGTCGCTATGGTCGCTAGTTTATAGGAGCCCTCTCGCAACA